AGAGGTAGTGAGAGGAAGTCAGAGGAAATGAGAGGAAGTGAAATGGAAGTGAGAGGTAGTGAGAGGAAGTCAGAGGAAATGAGAGGAAGTGAAATGGAAGTGAGAGGTAGTGAGAGGAAGTCAGAGGAAATGAGAGGAAGTGAAATGGAAGTGAGAGGTAGTGAGAGGAAGTCAGAGGAAATGAGAGGAAGTCAGAGGAAATGAGAGGAAGTGAAATGGAAGTGAGAGGTAGTCAGAGGAAGTCAGAGGTAGTGAGAGGAAGTCAGAGGAAATGAGAGGAAGTGAAATGGAAGTGAGAGGTAGTGAGAGGAAGTCAGAGGAAATGAGAGGAAGTCAGAGGAAGTGTGAGGAAGTGAAATGGAAGTGAGAGGATCTTTCAACGTATGATAATTCCGCTCTTCCTCGCTGTCCATACTCAAGTAAAGCTTTGTTCAAGTTGTCAATTGAAATTAGGAAAAATTGTTTATCGGAACATTCGATCTCGCCATCATCGAGTCAGTTCATTTCAAGGGGCAACTTATTGACTGTTTTTAGCTCTGTAGGTGAACAGGAAGTGAGAGACAGTTAGATACTGAGATAATCAGATAAGCCCCTCCCCCCAAATGTCTTCTATCTGACCTTGGCCCTTCCCTTCAGTCTTCTATCTGACCTCTGCCCTCCCCTTCAGTCTTATATCTGACCTCCGTCCTCCCCTTCAGTCTTCTATCTGACCTCCGTCCTCCCCTTCAGTCTTCTATCTGACCTCCGTCCTCCCCTTCAGTCTTCTATCTGACCTCCGTCCTCCCCTTCAGTCTTCTATCTGACCTCCGTCCTCCCCTTCAGTCTTCTATCTGACCTCCGTCCTCCCCTTCAGTCTTCTATCTGACCTGCGTCGTCCAGGGGCAGGTCAATGTCCTTATATGGTCATGTGACCATATAAGGTCAGTGATGTCAGCAGAAAGATCCCACCCCTGTGTCAGCTGTGGGGGGGGGATGGGGGGGATGCCCCGGTCCACAGCGATTGGGCGGGTGACCCCGGAGCATGTTGGGGTTTGGTGGGGCTCAGCTCCTCCTTGCCTGTAAGGTCTGAGTGCTGCTTCCTATATACTGTGTGTATGTATATATTTGGGGTTCCCCTTTATCGGTGAATGTGACAAGTGACGTTATCATGTGACATCTTCACCAAAACTGAAACTATCCAATAAGGGGGATTGGAGGCTGGGAAGGGGCGGAGCTCCTGTATATATATTATTATTACATTGTATTGTATACAAATCTCTTCCCAGTGACTGGCGGAGTCTATCATTGTTTTCGGTTATCTCTCCCATCCTCAGGAATGTGACCGTCCTGAACTCCAGGGTGGTTTCGGTGACGGTGAAGCCCTCCCCCCGCGGCACCTCCGTCCCCCTGGACATCGAGTTCTCCCACCTTCCCCAGTGATCAGTCTGCTGCAGGCAGGAGGAAGCATTTCCTCAGTCTCCCCTCCCCCAGTGATCAGTCTGCTGCAGGCAGGAGGAAGCATTTCCGGTAGTATGTCTTCAGTCTTCTGTAGCATCACATGTACTGATCACTATGTGTGGCCCTTTAGTGATGTCGGGGGCAATAGCTGAGGGCCCCTCTATACCACATGCAGTGATTAGAGCCACATTCATGTACTTCAATAACACTGACATGTTTCAGGCCACACGGCAGCATGTCCCCCGATCACAGCAGACGGTGTACGGACCGTGACCGATGTGGCGTTTTAGTTCCGCAGCCTCCAAGGTCGTCGTGTCGCTGGCCTGTCATTGGCGGCGGCGGAATCAATAAGTGTCATTAGCTGTACCCGGCGCTGGCGGACGATCACCTTGCCCCGGGCGACAACGATACGCGTTGGGCGGAAAGCTGACGGAAATGTCATTTAGTATTGACACAGAATGCGAAAACCTCCCGGGCCCCGCCCCCAGATCTTTTTGTTATATAAGATATACAATTTGCAATGTTATTTATTTTATTTTTTTGAGAAATCACTTTATTAATAATTTTTTAAGTCATTTTTTTTCTGTATTTTTAGTTGTTTTAAAAAAAAATTTTTATAACAAATTTAATTTTATACTTTTTTTAT